CTTCTGGCATGCTGCAGGTTACCCTGGGTTGGGGAGAGGAGGCTGGGACCAACACTGGGCTGGCCCCAGCAGCCTTACCTGGGGTCCTGGGGGCTTCCTGGGGCTTCAGCAGCAGTGCTGCTGCTACTTGGAGCCTGGCTAGCATCCGGAGTGTGGCTCTGGCCTGCCAGGCTCTGGTTTTGAGAGGCATGAGCTGCCCCTACATACACCACTCTGCTTTTTTTTTTTTGCACAAGTGTTTTGGCCCCTGGATATTAAGGGGTCAACCCCTCCCCTCCAGTACTGCTCCCTTGCAGCATGAAGAATGTGAAGACACATCTGTGGTGCCACACACCACACAGCCATACTCATCTGGATGTACCTTAGAGGTAGATTAGGAACCTGTGGCTGTTTATCTTCTACATCACATCATACTGCTCAAGTAAAATAAGAACCTGTAGTCAACACATGTTCTTTCTCCTTTTGTCTTCCCTCCTTATTGATATGCAACATAACACATTTTGAAAATCACATCCAAGTGATTCCAAAGTTTCAGGGAATATCCTAGATTTCTATTGACTTTGGTGAAGATAAGAGAATGTGAAAAGTCTGGTTTCCACTAAAATCAACATTTGGTAACTAGATGCAAGATTGAGATAGTGACTTCAGGGTTAGGGTTAGGTGTTAGTCTGAGGAGGTAGCTTTTCTATCTACAACACTGTGTGGGCCTGATTTTAGTGGAAAGCAGGCTACTGGAAGCTTCTCACCCTCCTTCAATTCCACTCTGTCCCTTCAGCCAGCAAGGCTGCTCATACCCATAACTCAGTCCAGCCCTCCTCAGCCAGGTTGTTTGTCCACTCTTACTGGCCAGGCCCTGGGCACTCAGATAAGGGGAGACAGATCCGGCCAGTCATACAGCTCAGCCAACTTAACCAACAAAAATGCTGTTTCTAGACCTCCAGTTATTTTACTACATATATTTTCTACTGTATCACTGCAGATACAAACACAACAATAGCATAGTCATTTAGCTTCAGGCAATAAGCAAATTAAGCAAATTCACAAGACAGATTCATTATAGAACCCTTATTTGTAGTGGGAGCTGATAGCTATTAAGCCAGAAGCTAAGGCTCATGATTCCTGAGTACAAGTCTCTTATTTTTCACCATTGAAACATACTGTGGAGATCTGAGAGGTCTGTGCATACTTCCACCTATATTTTTAAACTTCCAGACCTTTTGTTTCTCTAAGCTGGCATGATGTGAACAGCTCAGCGATGGAGAGGCTCCAGTTCTTTGAAAGTGATACAAACAACTTGTTTCACAGAGCCCCATGGTTCTTCTGCAGCTTTTCCCAGTTTTCTGCTGTTTCTTAATTCCAGGCCTCATACCTTTTCCCAGGAGGAGTACATGGCACAGCAGTGCTGCTAAATACATGCCAGCTGGCCAGCTATACCTCAGGGACCTTCTGTTCTCCCACTGTTTCTGTTTTGTTAACTAGTCTGCCTGGGGGGAAGCTGATCTAAATTTCTGCCCTGCAATACCCAGGCCCCAACGATTAACACAACTTCCAGAGCTGTTTTGCTGTAGGGCACAACACCAGATACTTGCACCATTACAAAAAAGAAAGTCAGACTGATGATGGCTATACAGTTTCCCACCTCCAGAATGCCCCAACAAGGTATGGTAATGTTGGAGTGACGTTGCAGTTTTGATGGCCCGGGAATTATGCAAGAGATGAAGAATGATGAAGATTATCTTCCATTCAAAAGCTTGTCTAACTTTATACCAACCATGCAGTTGGTCCAAAAAAGATATCACCCCAGAAAGTCCTTGTCTCAAGATCTGTTGTTAGCAAAGATTTGTAATTGTTAGCAAATACCCCTCGATTTATGCTGTTCAAAAGTCAGAAATGGGCACAATGTAGCTGCCCTGTAGGGACAGTATTTATTTCTATTATTCTTTTCTCAGACCAAGGGGGAGCTTTTAGTAAAACTGGTGGGAAAACATTTTTTTCATCCTTTAAAAATATTTAGCTTTCAATCTTTTTTTTCTTTAATTTAGAGCAAAACCTGACAATACTAATATGTTTTGCCAACAAAATTCCTGAAAAATGTTTCAATTCAGTCAAATTGTTTCATTTTGAGAAATTCACAGTATTTCATTTCAATATTGACCTTTTTAATATTTCTTACATATAATAAAATTTGAAATATAGGGTGGATTTGAAACTACAAAAAGAATTCTAATTCTGAAAATGGAAGAACAGGACAACTCAATGCTTTCAAAGCTTTTTACCAATTGTCTTCATAATGCAATTTCATTGAAACCATTTCAATTATAAGAAAAATGTTCATTTTGTCAAAATGACATGTTTAAAGCATGGGTAGCCAACCTGCAGCATGAGTACCACAAGTGGTACAGGCAACCTCTGAATGTGACACATGGATAGGGACCTATCTGAACTGGGGTGAGAGGAAAGGCTTTTCACAACCCGCTCATGGTGTTCAGAGCCACTTTCATGGGCATTTTGTGGTGGCCTGCCCCTTACAACTGATGGCCGAGAGGCCCTGCCCCTCACTGCTTATTGGCGAAGAGTGCTCCCCTTCATGCAGCTCTGCCCCTCAGCACTGACTGGTGGAGAGATCTCAGTGGGTGAGGAGGATGAGGGAGGTCATGCCACTCTGCCAGCTGGCATCTTCACCCCCCCTAATCCCAGCAGGCTGTGAGGCCAGTCAGCAGCGGCCAGGAGGACCACTTGTTCCCACTGAGGATCCAGCATTTTATTTTGGGGGTGGGGGGTGTTGTGTGTGAATGTGGTGGTGATTCCGTGGGAAACTGCAACAAACACCATTTTTTGCAGAAACTGCTGGTTTTGCAGTTTCCGCAAAAATTGCAGAAGTGCAATTTAAGAAGGTCCCTACACATGGCAGATCAGAGATGTGATAGAGTGCAGCAGCAGATAGTACAGGAAACAGAAAGAAGAGCAGGAGATAGGGTGGCACCACAGGGCGAAAAGCAGAAAAAGCAGGAGATTGCGCAGGGAGCACAGAATAAGGAGCAGAAAGGACAGCAGCAGATTAGGCAGAGGTTGGGGACTGGAGTGGCTCTTGGGGAAGGTGAAGGGCTAGTTTGTGGCACATATGCCAAAAAGGTGCCCCCTGCCTCCTATTCTAAACTAATACTGTTCTGATGAAAAATTTCCAGCCAGTTCTAACTGGTCTTCAGGCCACAACTGCATATGAAAGATAAGACTCAAGATGCTCAAAACTGACAAAAAACTTCAGTCACAACTATTTCTATTAGCTTCAATAGGAGCTGCTAAATCCCTTAGCTTAGGGGTTGGCAACACATGGGCTAGGGACAGGCATTCAAAAAGCCTGAGCCTGAATTGATTCAATCTTTGCAGGTTAGTCTAACCTGAGAAGGCTGAATCACTTTGTAATTGTACAGACATCCCAGAAATGCAGGCACATGCCTGCAGTGGCTCAGGATAGAAGCTTGGGGGTGCTAGAGCAGCCCTCCCTCCCCTTTTACAGGGCTGATCTGAGGGGGGCATAGCTAGGCCCCAGCAGGATTAGGGAGAGGTTCCCCCCCACTCCTTGATAACAGAGCATTTATCACCACATCAAAAAACAAACAGTCTCTCTCATTAGTTCAAACTCTTTTTAAACAAAGGAAGAATGGAGGGACATTACCAGCTGAGCTGTTTATTAGCTCCAAAAGCCCTAAGCTGCCACTACTGTCTGCGACAGCATGTACCATAGCCAGCATGTGGTCCACTAGCTAATGATGAGGTGCCTGTGTAAGCCAGAGGGGATGGGGATCCCTGCTTAGCAGAAAGTGGAGAGGGGAGGAGAAAAGTAGGGAGAAAGCAGGAGGAAGCCGGGCAGATGATGCTCTGCCTGCAGTCTCTGCCAGAGCTGCAGCCAAGGAGCAGAGGGGAGGGGCCAGCTCTGCTGTGGAGCAGAAATCCCTGCCCATCCCAGAGAGCATGCTAGGGTGCTCAGGGAGTTTAATTTAACTTAAATCAGCAAGGTGTCTGGGACAGATATTGCATAAACCAGTTTGACCCAAATCAATTAAGTCTGATACTCAACTTTATCTCAAACCAGTTTCAGCCATTTTCAAAATGTTTTATGTGCACTGAACATCTGTTCTGTTACAGGTTTAAACCACTTTCTGATCACTTAAGCCAGTTTATGTGTACCGTCTGTCCCTAGCCATGGTCCACAGGACAAATGCAGCCTGCAGAGCCACTTGACCTAGACCAAGTTGCTAGAGGACTTTGCCTGTATGCAATCTATCTGGGGCTGAGCAGCTGGCAGCTGCACCAAATTCCACAGCTGAGAGGCTGTGTGTATATGTAGGAGGGAGGTAAGAGAAGCAAAAGGGCAAGGGAGAAGCAATGGCTGTGTAGACACAACTTCCACTTGCCCAGCTCTGGTGAAGCTCCCAACCCGCTGGAGTCTGGAGTCTTTCTGTACAGAAGCCAGAGAGCAGGGAAAAATGGTGGTGGCACAACTGCCACCTGCTTGGCCCTGCTTGGGTGAAGGCAAACATCCCCACTGCTGATGTGCTGCTAAAGGCCCCGGGCCTACATTAGATGGGAGCTAGGCATTGTTGTTGTTTTGTCTAGCAGCTTATAGAGTCTGTTGGTCCTGTCCCTAGATAAACTGGGAAATTCCAGCCAAGGGGGTGTCAATCTGTTCCATGTTATATGCAAACTGAATAATCTTAACATACCTGACAAGCTAGAAAGTTAGACAAAGTTTGAGCAGGCTACTGAAAGCAGGGGGCATATTTTTATGATGCCTGAATGAACTTACAGGTCTGAAAAGTTTGCTGAGATTGGCAAAGGGAATCAGGAAAATATGGAACATTGGCAGTGGAGCACATAGCACAAATAGGTGACTCCTGTACAGTAACTTTCCTGACTAGGCCCACACTTTCTGGACCAACTGCTCTGCAGTGGTCTCGAGTAGGGTGAATATAGTGCTGTTTCAAACCGCTTTAGCTTACTTATTGCATGTGCCCCATTCTCCTCTCCATTCACAGTGGCTTCTCCGTTCTTTGGTGTGTTCTGCTGGGAAATAGCAGTTGTCGTTGTTCCTGCTGTTGCTGTCGTTGCTGCTGCTGCTGCTGCTGCACTGGCTTGTTGTTGAGCTAGTTTCTCTCTGAATGCCTGTTGCCGGGTCTGAACAACGTCAGGCATCACTGCGTCTATCAGCGATAGTGACTCTATTGGCCTGCCATCAAATACTGTACCATCCTAGGGAAAAAATAAATGGGGGTCTTACAATGAGAAAAATTGACGCAAAGGAATATTAAAGAGAAACCAAATGTAAGGTTGCTTGGGGAAACAAGGCTATGTTAAGACTGGGAATCTCCATCTTAGACAGTGCCTACATCTATGATATCAAAGCTGTGCGTGGGAATATTTTGTGTGGGCGGATAACAAGTCAGATGTATAAATTATTAGACTGGATGAAAAGAAATAGAGCCACACAAAAATAATGATCTAAATCTTGGCAGAAAATTTCACTTGATTTTACAGTCCAAAAAATGGGTCAAGGGTTACTCAGAGAAACAGACATGGGTTTAACTGAGAAAAAGACGGTGGTGTCCCACACCCAATATATAAACAAATCTCTGAAAATACACAGCCAACTATGCAAAAAATGGAGAAGTTAGTGGAGACGACAAGTAAAAGCAAACTTTCATTTTCCTAAATGATTTTTATGTTAATCCAGAACATTTCTTTGGTTTTGGTTTAAATCCTAGCTGTACAATGAAGAAATATTTTTCCAGATAGATTGTAGCATCTGAATTTTTAGCTAAAAAACTCCTGACTAGAGCATTCTTCTGAACAAAATGACCAACTCTTTGCAGAGATCTCAAATTTTACTGAGATTTTAAGAATACTGGTTCAGGTAATTTAAAATAAGTTGTTGCACATAAAAACAGAGATACCAACATAACATTTACTATAGATTAGGCATAATTAGGAACATTTTCACTTAAGTGACACTCTGTATTAAGAATTTTATCATTGGAATATGAAGTCAATAACTGAACACATGCAAGACTTGACTGCATGCTTACTGAAATCAATGAAACAAAATTATTGATTTTATGGTGCAGAATCAGGGATTAGAGAAATCAATAACCAGGTCTCCTTTTTTGCACTCATAACTTTGTTGGCACAAGTTAAGGCCATTTTAGATGTCTAAGTACTTCCTAAATACTTCCTGTCAGACACTTAGATATGCAAAGTAAAATAGTTGCAGCATGAAGAAGGGGCTAGAGTATAAAACTATAACCTTTCACCGTAGCTGGAATGTTAGGATCAACTCCTTGTCCTTTAGTTCATAGATTCATAGACTGTAAGGCCAGAAGAGACCTTGGAAGATTATCGGGTCCAGCCCCTGCACCAAGCAGGGAAGAGAACTAGGGTCAGGTGACTCCAGCAAGGTGACTGTCTAGTCTCCTCTTGAAGATTTCTAGGGTAGGTGATTGCATCACCTCTGGAGGGAGCTTATTCACCCTGACTGTGAAGGAGTTTTTCCTGATGTTGAGCCTGAAATGGTCATCCAGGAGTTTGTGGCCATTGCTGATAGTTTTCCCCTTGGGTGTCCTGGTAAAA